GCGGCACTCTCTCACTTATAGTTAGTGAGGGAAATCCACCTGCGATCCGAGCGGAGCGGTTAGGCTACTCATGGACTGATTATGCGCTCTGCAGTAATAACGTGATCAGTGCCTATGGTCCACGCTGATAGCTGTTCCGTGGCAGTTTTTTAGTTCCATATTTTTATTTCCATAAACCTATATATAACAGTAGAGCTAATACAGTGGCTGGAAATCTGTTTATCCTTCGGTTCCTCGTGCTTCCCCATCTTCATAGACAACGCGGTTCATGGTTGCTTAGAGCGGTTTGGAAAGGTGGAAATGGCGCAACCGCGATTTCCACGCATTTTTAGACGCTGGGAGCAGGGAAATCTATATAGAGCGCCTTATTGTAATAATTAAAATATCGATATTTGGCGCCAGATATCGATTCTCGTATCGCATGGAAAAGGACAACGATATATCGCCATATCGATATATTGTCCCACCCCTAGTTATTATGGCTCAAAAATTTTCCCATGCATGTTTTTTTTATTTCAGTTTTGTTTCAGTCAGTTCTAACGGTAAATAAATAGTTTTGATTTTGGTTATTTTATTTTGGTTTCATTTTTATCATACGAAAATTACTTCTTTTAGTTTTGCTTTCATTTAGTTTCAGTGATACTTTAGTTTCCATCCATTTAAGTACGCACAAATTGTTTATTATGGATTTTATCCATATAGTTATGGTTAAGACCAAAAGTTAATTTTGTCCAAGTAATGAAAGTAATTTCTCTGTTAATTAATTTAGCTTTCACATTAGTAAAACTTTTGGGGGCAAGGACAGTGTATCAATGTTGAAGCACCACTTATTCAGAGGTCACTTCCAAGCTAAGTACCTTTTTATTGGTCAACACAGCAGATTCAAAGTTTGAACAACAAACTTGAATCCACATTAAAAAATATTTTGCCTCATGCAAAACTCCAGATTGCACAGATTTCTATTTAGATGACTGCATTTCGCCCGTAGAATTCCAACACATGTAGTAGATGCAATTAAATTATTATTATTTTATTTTATTTAATTAATGAAGAAAATTTTAGAGATTTTTGGTAGTTTTCTTTAACGAAGTAATTTATTTATAATAAATATATAAATAATAAACAGTAATAATTTGAAATTAATATTTTTAATAGTACCAATAATGTAAGTTAATTAACATATTTTTGTTTGGCATCATTCAAGCCATCAGTACTGAAAGTCACAGTGCTCCAAATTAAACCGAAAGTTATTGCTGTGACATGGTTCAGTCAAACCATAATGTTCCTAAAAGATCAACACTATAACTTTTCTAGTCTGCAACCTTTCAGAAGCAAGTGTGAGTGAGGGTGGAAATGCTCTAAAAAAAATGCAGCCATGCCACATTCCTGTCCTTGTTTTTAAGTTCTATGGCAGGTGGTTTTGGTTGAATCATCATCTGAAACAATCAGGTCTTGTAGTGCTGTTTTGGTTATAATCATGAGACTGCCCTTCAGCCAATCAACAGGTGGCACGGTGAGCTAATTTACAGAGAAGCGACCTCAAAAGAGTCCAGAAATTGGCATGAGAGAAGAATGCCACTCAGTATTGCTCATGCACTGCACTTGGATTAGTTGTTCATCCTGTTTACATTACTAATGTAATTTTGGCGGAGCAGATCAAACATCAGGAAAAGTGAGTCACCGTGTGCCATCATGCTATGATGAATTCCCACGAGACAGCAGAAAGGTCATTCAATAGGAAAATAGGGGTTGGATAAGAAAGAGAAGGAATATGAGATCCAAACAGCTTGTTAATTGTTTGTGTGGATGCTGGGTGGGATACTGCATGTGATATGAAACCCAGACTCACACTGACATATTGTTATGTTGACAGCTGTGCTAAATGGTATTAAAGCTTATTATACAAGTTGTGACAGGTAACATACCAGTCCTCCAGAGGAGCATTCTCCAGGCGTGCAACAGTACTCTCTGAGGTGCTGGGAGCTGGAGTCTAAAAATAAATAAAGAGATGAAGATCATGTATTTAAAAAAAAAAAAAAAAAAAATTTGGTTTGGTCAGTCCCAACTCCGAGGTCTTGACCATCTCCATTGCATCCAACAATTAAAAACTAAATATTTTATTTTGAGAAAGTAAGACACAAATCATGAGAGCCTCAGGCCTTATTTTGTACCTTATTCGTGGAAAGTGACAGTAAAATGCAGATATATTTCCTTAATCCATCTTAACAGAACAGGCTGTTTGTAAATTCGAAACAGCTGATAAGAAGCAAAGCAACTAATTCTATGTAATTTGATCATCAACGGTATTAGAGACCAGAAAGAACTGTTTGGGCAAGAAAGAATCCATTTCTTCATCTGAATGATGAAAGAAATTAATATAATATTAATGAAGGTTCCTTGTTCCTCAATAAGCTTAGCAATTTGGCAAGACCGATTCCAAGAATATTAAAAAGGCATTTGGCTGTGATGAGGTCAAATGAGTTGAGGATTGTGTGTGTGTGTGTGTGTGTTTGTGTGTGTGTGTGCTGGTTTTACCAGCTGCTGCTGAACAGAGACCTCTGTTTCCTTGTGATTTCCATCCACTGGCATGTATGTGCAATTGAGGAGGTTGTACCACTTGGTGCACAACTCCTCTGAATACTCTTCATCAGCCAAACTGATCTGAGCACCAGCCTTTCAAGAGAAAAAAAGACAAGAACTGAATAAACCCAGGCCCATATACACAAAGCATTATATGACTTTATTTAGACATCATCACTCTGTTTGTTTTCTCGCATTAGAAACTCACTAGACAGTCCTCTCGACCAGACTTGCTGGTGGTACAGACATCAATGCGTAGAGTCTTCTGTCTGAGAGCAGCGGAGGACATCTGGAGGCTAAACGCTTCCTTAAACTCTAAGGGTTCCTGCAGCAGAGACCCGTGGGTGCGGAACAGGCAGCGAACGGGCTCTGAGCATGGCAGTACCACCACACGGACATATCTGCAACAGATTAAATCCAAAAGAATTCAAACTCCAATTAGAGATGGCCTTTCGTATCAGAGATGAGCATCCACATGCCAAAACAGGACAAGAATTGGCCAGTCATTGATCAGTGGTTCTCAACTCAAGGGTTTTAACTCCAAAAAATGGTTGTGGGGAAAAAACAACCTTGGGTTTATAAAATGTCAATTCAAGGAGTTAAGATTCAATTCCAAAATGATTCTCAAGGCATCTCAATTGTTCAGCAAAAGTGCAGAGGCATTATAGTTGCTGAATTGCAATTATTACACATAAAAGCCATAATAAAATGTCTGTTTGATATGTACACAGGAATTATTAAAGGGGTCATATGACGTTGCTAAAAAAGAACATTATTAGAAGAACGTTATTTTGTGTATTTGGTATAATGAAATGTGTTTATGCGGTTTAAGGTTAAAAAAACACATTATTTTCCACATACTGTACATTATTGTTTCTCCTCTATGCCCCGCCTTTCTGAAACGCGTCGATTTTTACAAAGCTCATCGGTCTGAAAAAGCGAGGTGTGCTGTGATTGGCCAGCTATCTAGTGCGTTGTGATTGGCCGAATGCCTGAATTGTCCCGGTGCGACAAGACAAAAACAATAAAAACCCATTATAAACGAGGCATTTGTAGCATCCAGTGGGAACATAATTACGGATTATAATGACTTATATGGTCTTTTTACGTGTTGCGTTGCATCGTAAACATAAAACTGTAAACATAAAAAATGTCTGCATTTGTGATCGGAGAAACGACAAACAACAAGTGCTACTCTACACTGCTCAAAACTCACGTTTGAACAGTCAGTGGCAAATTCTTTAAATATGAAAACGCACTTACAGGCTGTGAGTCAGAACAGCCGGCATTGTAGGCTACTCTCCCAGGTTCAGGCAACAGTCCTCCGTAAAATGCGCTGCACACATTTGAATATTTGGTTTGAACTGTTCTGGAACAGTGTTGTAAATACAACTTAACCGCTGATTTCTAGTTGTGTCCTCTTTTGGAAGGCCAAACAAAGTATTTTCGCTTTCGCAACGAAACACACGACTTCACGACATGGCGGCAGCAACAATACTACAGCGAGAATAAAAGTTACGCCTTCTTTCTTTGCGTGAACATTTGGGCGGTGTTATTTAGTCTTTGCAACTTTAGGGATCTTATCTATTCACAAACAGCTTGTAACACTCCAAAGAGAAAGGAAAACTTGAAATCGCATCATATGACCCCTTTAACTCTCAGTCACATAAAAAAAATTTTATGGACCGATCCAGAATCAACAGAAAAACAATCAGAAAAAATTGCAAAGTATCCGTGAATCGATTCCTCCACTTTATATTACCATTTTCCAACTATTGAAAGGGTTAATTCCATTTGTAAAACCCAGCACATTTCCCTAGAAGAGATGCATCATCAAAATTACATCATGCTGAATAAAATTAATGTCTCCATCAGCTTTAAATGAAGCTAGAGGAGACAGCGCAATCCTCACATGTTCTGGTTGGCTGGCAGGGAGAGTGCGCTATAGTTGGAGAGCTGCATTACGAACACTGTGAACTTCTTGTCTTTCGCTTCATACTTCAGGCCGAGTTTGATCTGAGAACTACTTGCTGAGCTCCCGTCATCATAACCCAGCTGTTGCTCAACAGGAAGTCCCGACCTGTGGGAATGAACAGCACCATTTTACTATCTGAATCAGGGTCTGTGATAAAACGCCACTTTTAACAAAACTCTAGTGGCCTACCTCTTCTCTGAGGGCTCATATACCCCGCTATCGCCTGCTACTGATTCGTCAGACACTGCTGACGTTACTCCTGCCTTCTTCGATCCTGGCCCAGACATCCTCGTTTGCGTAACAGCATCTGCAGGCACAGAAAAGGGGGGAGTAGAAATTTAACACCACGCCACTCTGGATGGGTGTTAGGTTCCTGATCTCGAGCGAGCTCACCTGCTGGGCTAGATGAGTGAGCTGTAAATCTACCCTATCATACTAGACATTCAGAGGCTTTCTCTAGTTTCAGATGGAATTCTGGATTGCGGATGACAAATAAAGTTACCACGATAAATAAAAGGGAAAATCTTGCCAAGTTCTTAGAAATGTTTTTTTGGTTGTTGAAAATCTTTTATACTATTTTTTTTTTAAAGTTAAAATTTAAATAATTTTTACAATTAATCTACTGATTATTTTCTTATTAGTCAAATAATCCTCTAGTTAGTTTACCAATTAATAATAGCAGTAACTTCTGCTATTAATCTTTTAGATTTTCATTCAAAACATTATTCAATAATCATATTCATCTCTTTTTACCCCAGTTTAGTCAAATCATGATTATTTTTACGATTAATCTGTTGATTATTTTCTAATCAGTCGATTAATCCTTTAGTTAACTTACCTATAAACAATAAACTTTATCATGGCAAGAATTAAAAGGTATCTATCAGTAATACAAATGTCCATGACAGCTTGATGAGCTAAGATATGAAGCAGTTTTTTTCATGGAAAGAGCCATGTACCTTTCAAAGACTCCACTGCACCCTGTTGGTGGTCCTCTTCTAACCGTAGTTCCATTAGCCTGGTTTGCAGATCTAAATCCAACTGTGAGGCTGGACCGGAGAAGGCCTCTCCCGACAGGAAGGAAGCATCAGTAACAAGGGGTGAGCAAGGAGGAGAGAGGGAAGAAAGCGAGGAACGTGGGGACAGTGAGCTCATGGAGTGAGGTGTCTCTGACAGCCGCAGTACTTGGGTTCTCTGGCCCACCCCCGGCCCACTGCCAACTTGCCTGGAGGAGGACGAGACCTCGTTCTCATGGATGGTGGTGATGGAGCTGGAGGGCCTGTAGCCAGAGGTACTTCCCTCCTGCAATATAGAGTCCAGTTTGTTCTGAAAGTCAGGGTCACCCAATTCAGGCTGCTCCAGGTAGATGTCTGTGAAGCTGAGAGAGGACGTGGAGCCCAAGCTGGAGGTGGCCAGGGATCCTCGGCTGGAAGTCAACGATCCACGGCTGCTGCCTGAGGAACATGATAGCGTGCTGGCTGACAGACTGGAGTTGATGGAAAGAGACAGCGGGAGGGACAGAAGGAGAGCAGGGAAGTTATTCAGAAAGCAGCTCCAGTTCATCTGATTCATATCATCTCACTCTACCCTATTTCAAGTCTTAACATCAAATGAATTCTGCTTTAAAGCAAACATGCTAAATTAAGGCATGGCAGGCTCATTAGACACACAAGGGACTGTTCCTCCATGCAAGATGCCTTTGATGTGCCTTAACTAGACGCTGAAGATGAATTAGGCATTAGTCAAAATAAATGGTAAATGCAAAACTATTGTTACTAAGTTACCAAGAGCGTTCGGTTGCATCGTTTTATAACTTCAGAAGTCTGATTCTTTGGATAAGTTTGAGCATTCCTATTGCAAAGTCATTACATCATATATTGTCATGAAAAGTTCTTACGACATGCAGCTTCCCCTTGCTGCATATATTTAAAACTGCAAATTAAGTTTTTTTTCTCTCTTTGAAGCCTTTTTAAGCCTTTGTGTGTGTGTGTGTGTGTGTGTGTGAATATTAAAAAAGGAGAATATTACAAATATCTTTTATAATAAAAATTATGGGTTTAAAATGACATGAGAGTGAGTAAATTATTCTATAATATTATAAATATTATGTCATATATAGAAAACTATAATGTCTGATTTCACTTGTAGCATTTAAAATGACTGATTTTCCTTTTTTTAATGTTGCATTTTTATTTAGACAAAATTGCATTTTTTTTTTTATAAAATTTTAATAACATCTGTTTCCTGTTTATTGACAATAGTGGCATTTATATGAATGTAATCACCAGTTTATCATATAGAATAATTAACACTGGTGCATCCCAATTAGACAACAGACAGAAAAAGTAAACATGTTGTCAATATTATGAGTGTCATTTGAATTTGTCTATTTTATTTAAATGCCAGGGTTGGAGAATACCTTTTCAGCTGGGTGTGCAGGGAAGACGCCAACCTCACCGTCTCTTCCAGCTCCTTCACTAGTTTGTTTCTTCTATAATGCAGTTTTAACCTGAACAAAGCAACAGAGAGAACTTTGTGACAATTGTTTATTATTGGGGTTAGGAATTGGAACAGACCAACTTCTCTTTAAAGGGGTGGTTCATTGCGATTTCACTTTTTTAATGTTAGTTAGTTTGTAATGTTGCTGTTTGAGCATAAACAATATCTGCAAAGTTACGAAGCTGAAAGTTAAATGCAAACAGAGATATCGTCTTTTAAAATTCTGGCAGTTTAATGCCTACAAAA